TAGATAACGTTGTGTTGTAATTTGATTAAGAATTAATGAAGATTAAGTCCATCTCTTTAAATCCTCGGTCATTCGGGGGACCTTTTGTAGTTTTAATCCGTCGTGTGCGTTACTTGATGCAGTTGTAAGGGATCTATTTTGGTGGACAAAAAAGTCCGCGGACAATAGTCTCTCGTCTGCAAAGGCCATAATGTTTACCGGAAATTGTTTCTTATTGCGAAATGTATCTCTGGGTTTCCTCTAATAAATTATGTATTAACTTTGATAGGACTTTAAACGTAGCGCCCTTTGTAGTTTGACGAAAAATATTTGGATTAATTGCGAGTTGGTTTCAATGAGGTCCTCAGTCAATTTTAGTTTTATATCATGAGAAGGTTTTCGTTTTATGTCTTATGTAATGAATTGAGCTGTCCACCGATTAAAATTCATGACACATGTCCCGCTAATATACAAACGGACTAATATAAACAACGGACGCTTAGCTATAGGGTTCCGTTTTCACCCTTTGGTTCTTAACCCTTATTTAAAACGTATTTCATAAAACGTGGATATTATTCCTTTTTTATAAGATCGATCATTATATTACTGAAAGACTATTTGTTCCTCTGATAATAAATAGCGACTTTTAGATAAATATCTATGTTAAATGAAAATTTTAAATTCTTTAAACTTCAGTTGGATTTTAACAAGCGACTCACTGGAAACTGAATAAGATCAGAAACAAGTTTCTTTTGACATTTAAATCAGCCAGCCAAGAAAAAGAATGATGATCTGTCGCACTGTGTGGCGGCCATTGTAATGTCGAAAATGAGGCATTGGGAATTCCCTTGCAATAAAAATCATTCTAAAATGCTTATACGTGAATGACGATTCAATTTACGTGAAATCGACCGCAGCCGTGGTAATTATTATTGATTTGTGAACCATTACTTGTAATCCTTGCGGCATCGTGAACAATTACTGCTTGTTGAGAAAATGTGGTTAGGCATTGGTCATCGGAGTATCTATACGTTAATTAGTTATATTATTGAGTTAGGTAGGAACAAATGCCTAACATGTCAATAGACTAAGAAGCAGATTGCCTAACCGTGAATGCCGAGACATTGTAATTGACAAAATGTTATTTCGTCTAAAAATGGAAATGCCTAAAATGCACTGTCTCTCTATACTGCCTAATGCGCAAGTTTCTTTCGAAACTTTTGTTGTAAAGAGTTGTTTTTTAATACTGGCACTTGAAAATTATAAGACAGTGTATTTTGCCCTAATGCTCAGTTTTTAGTTTAAAAAAATATATGTATTTTTAAGGAGTGTTTAAGGCTATTTTTTTTAGGGATAGAAGATTTGTTTTCAGTTTCAAAAATTAAATAAGTATTTTAAGAATACAGTTTTTTTTATTATTTATTTATATTTTCAGATTTAAAATTGACGGTTGACAGCAAACATTATAGTCACGATACATTGTTGGCAATCTGATTCTCAGTCAATTAGCGTTTTAGGTACTATTGGAGTAGGCATCTTTCATTATAGGCAGTCTGCTTTTTAGTCAAAATGATGAATGATAGTTATAGTCATTATTGCAGCAGTGGCATCTAGCATTTCAGGCACTGTGCTCATAATCGTCGTTCAGCTGCACATAATTATTATTATTTATCGTCTTCTTTGCGTGTCAAATTATTGCCAGTCAAGCTATAGTCTATAGACACGCAGTCCGATAATTCATTACGACAGAACTAATTCAAATTTCGAAAGCTAAATTTGACGACCTTCGTAGCCGTGTGGTATTTTTTATAGGGTTTCATGGCGTCGCCAACTCAGTGTTCGCGGGTTCGGGTTTCGGTGGGGGCAAATGTCACTATGATGAATACGAGCATTTGTACGTACCACACTCATGGATGTTTATTTATATCTGGTTAAAATATACTTATATATGTGTATCAGTATTATGTATTCTATCTGTTACCCTAGCATCCCATAGTACAATAAGCCTTACAGTACTTACTTACTAACTAGCTAGGCTAATTGGTGTGAGTGTAGGACATATTTATTTATTATTATTTATTTAATTTCAGCACATTGTCTACCAAAACTTTCATCACACAAATACTAAAAGTGGGAAGGCGAAAATAACAATTATTTTAAACCAAAGAAAATAAAACCTCTATGTGAATAATTAGGTATCAAACAAGGTAACAATCGCTAAGTACTCAGCAACAGTAATTTAATTCCCGCTATTTCGCCGGGTGTCTTATATAATTATTCCCTCAGGATAAGAACTGTAAAGTCATTAGCGAAATGAAAAGCTCTTTTAGTTATATTAATATATACCCTTTTGGGGTGTAGTGTTTTCGTTGGTGAGTAAAGTGGGGTAAGGTAGGTAACGGCGCGTTACTTTAGTATAACAAACGACTATTTATCTAGGAAAAAAATCCACGCAGACCAGGCAACGGACGGGATTCGAACCCGCACCCTTCGCAATCCAGGCGAATGCACTGACCAATTATGCTACCACGGCCCTGATGGCCGTCCACTGCCTGGTCCGCGTGGACTTTTTTTCTAGTAAAACTTTTCTTAAGATTTAAACATGCAGTTAAATGCTTAAAAAATAAAAACATGACAATTTATCTATTCATTAAATCTTTGTTACTCTACTAAGGACATAAGTCAAATTGGTAATCATGATAATAAAGAAAATTCTGTTAATAGTTATTTATGATATTAGTGCGGTAAGTTGGTTATCACAAACGAGTTATGTCATGATTTTGTAAATACCAATCCGCACGAATTTCATACAACGTTTTTTTTAACAAATTTCGAGAAAACAGTACCTATACCTCATTAATGTAATGAAGCAAACTGCTTTCTAATAAGGACATGTCGCGCATTTCCTAATGGCGCCATGTGCGGGTGGTGAAAATTAGAACTACATAACGTTTAAAAGTGAGACAAAAGTATAGATTAAAAGCGCTTCCAAGGAGGTTCGACTTACATTAAAAAAACCTTAAAGGATACGCACGGCGTCATGTACGGGAGCGTGCGGTTAAATGTTTTACCGCACGCTCTGTTGTAAAGCCCGTAATTTTGAACTTTCTAACAATGTAAACAGCATCCGTAAATGCATTGTTTGAGCAAATGTGTAGAAAAGAATATTGTTGAATTGCTTTGTAGTTATGTTCTTCTTTTCTTATATTACAATGCGGTAATTATTCTCTCTGCTCTGCCTACATGTCTGGGAAACAGGTGTGCCTGGCATTATGTATTGTATTATTATTTTAATTACGTTTTAATTAATTATTAATTTCAATATCATGTAAACTTAATACGAAATTGCGTGGCGTGGAATTGTAAATGTGTTTATGTACCTTTATTATTGTCAAAGTCATTTCAATTCAATTGAAAACTGCGCATGTCTTTGGTTAATTCTCTTACGTCATGTGTAATGTTTTATTATGATATACTGTTTTTGAATTCGATACTTTTGTGGAATTTGTTAGAGATATTTAATGAAACCTAAGTGGCCAGAGTTGGTAAGAAGAACTACCACTTTCACTCCGAGGCTAATAAGGATACTGCCAAGGGTGAGAGTGCAGCATCAAAAGAGGGTAACAAAGGGAGAGACAGCGAGAGAAAGGTCAATGCAAGGGGATGTAATATATATACACCGTGTTCCTGAGGATATACATTAACTTTGAATAATACTTCTAAAGCTCTTGTTAAACATATCGTACAAAGAAAGTAGTAGTTTAAATAGCATAGTTTTTAAGTTATTGGTAATTTAAGTTTAACCAATTTAATTGTGTTGTGAAGTGAAAAAGAGTCTTTATCTGTGAGATCTTGCCACTTTGTGAAACCAAAACTATCAAATCATAGTTTCAAAAGTCAAAATTTAAAAAAAAACATTGTTGACGTCAAGAAAAGTTTAAAAAGTTTACGTGGACATGTGAACCAAAGTTGCAAATGCGACGTTGCCAGCTCAGGTAAAGAGTAAGGCCGTATACAGAAAGAAAGCCGAAAGCCGCCGCGCCGATAAGCGCCGATAAGCGCCGATCGGCTTACGGCTTTCTTTCTGTATACGGCCTAATTCATATAAGATAAATTACATCTTAGCATTTAGTTTGTATGAAAATAAAAAATGTTAAAGAAATTGGAATTCATAAAAGTGTCCATAGTAAAAAATAACTTCAGGAACACGGTGTATATATGATATATATCTTTTTTTTGGTTTTTTTTCTGCGTTAATCTGTTTATGTTTCGTGTAGATTTGAATACTTTTTTGGCGCTAAAGTAACAAAATTTTGGTGTTTATTGTGCCAATGGCGCTTAAGCCCTCCCATTTTGCGTATGATTTAATGTTTGCTTGACAGCAAATGTATGGCGGGCCGAGTGATTTTCGCTTAAGCGACATCTAATTCGTAAAGTAAAGGCACTATGTAACTTTTTAATAAGAGGATATTTAGAAAATATTATTTTATGAATATGTTTTTATTTTTATGGCGCTACTACTTCTCATTAACAATGAGTTATGTTTTTTGTGAACAAAAAAACTTTGTTCCTCGTTTCTGTAAAGTGACTTAAGTGACGTTTAAGTGATTTTGCTTTCCCCTGTCATTATGTAAAAGAGAGTGTGTACACTACTACATCTGCCATCATCCGATGACGCCCGCCCGAATGCATACATTTGACGACTGATTCAATCGGCTGAGGACGCCCAAGCATAGTTCCGTAACGATACCATCTAGGTATCGTTACATCATACTCGATACTCATCGGTCGGTCATAAAGTATCGATGCCTAGTCGGTATCGAATGAAAAGTTTCGATACTTACTTGTATCGATAAATTTTGACGAATGATATTACAATTAAAACTTCACGAAAACAAAATAACGGCTTTAGCCACGTAATGAACGAAAAAGTGACTCAATACATTGGAATAAATATATCATCCCTATCCGTGTATCCGAAGCGTAAGGTTGAAAGAGAAGGATTGAAGGACTGTACTTACGATGTGCTAGAAGTGAGAGGCCTATGTTCAGCCGGCACGTATGGCTCCAAGTCCTCCCGGGATCCATTACACGCCAAGTCGACCCTGAAACAGAGGATTAAATACAATTAAAATTTCGTTTTTCGAAGGTTTTTCATAAGTGACCAAATGCCATGCGAATCACTGAAAGTAATTTTGCACCTCAATTCGTGGCTCTTTAAGCCAGGCAAAATTCGATTCTGATTGCGGTAATCTATTAACTAATCCCAACCGCCTCAGCAGTGGAGCCTCCATGGAGAAGTCCAATGCTTAAGGACTTCTCCATGGATAGAATAGGGAGAATGGACCATGACCCACCACGTCCGCCCAGTGCGGATTCGTGGGTACTAACGTCTGCAGATGCAGCCTGGACCAATGGCTTAACATGACTCCAGAATCACAGAAGAACTCAAGATAACAAATTTTTGTCACCCATCTTGTAACCGACCACTTAGCGAAGTTGTGTTACTTCTACGGAAAGAATGATCGATTACAAATACTTACTTTGCACGACCAATAACTTTGCCAGTGCGGGTCCAATCCCGATTATCATTATTATGTTTACCTCCGTGTTTTAGTAAAAGATTTTTTAAGCATGTTAATTATTACGTGATAAAATTCCACGCTTACCAGGCAGCAGACGGGACTCGAACCCGTACCCTTTGCTATCCGGGCGAATGCACTAACCATTGACTGAATGACTGAGGGCCGCGGCGGTAGCATAATGGCATTTGCCTGGATAGCGAAGAGTGCGGGTTCGAGTCCCGTCTGATGCCTTGTTCGCGTGGATTTTTATTTCTTTATATTTTCTTTAGATTTAAGTTATCGCCATGTAAAAAAAACAAGCTGGCTATGTGTCAACTTTTATTGTCAACTTTTTAGCGTACGCATAAATAATATTATGTTTACAGGTTGACTTAGTGTACGAATAAACCTTTCTGGTTTCTGTTACACTAATAATAACTGAAAAACTGTTACTCTATTTTAATAATAATAAATAAATTACAAAAATGATCGACGTTAAATGCACATTATATCTCATGTTTATGTAGAAGGGCCCTTGAAGTTAGGGATGATGACGGGATGAAGAAAACGAAATTCCATTTAGTCCGTCAATTAGATTTATCAAAAAATAATGGATACGTATTTTTTCTTTGGGCAATCAACCAAAAAATGACAAAGTTATAGCGCGTCAAAGTTTGGGAGTAGGGGCTCGTGACGTCACTTTTTAGTGAATTTTCGCTTAAAAGTGTACTCAAACATGACGTCATGCGACTTTTCAAATCAATATATCTCTGCAATGTTTATATTATGTGAAAAAAGAAAAAATACGTGTCCAATACTTTTTGATAATCTACCTGATAAACGAAGAAAAAAAAAAATAGTCATCATCCCTATTATCTTTCTTTCTTTTATTAGTTAACCAAAACTCACAAAGATTAAGTGCGTCATCACGACCCAAAAGGTCGTCATATTTTGTAAAAAATATACAAAAATGTTACGTCACGCGACGATCAAATCAGTACATCTCTATAATGTTTTGAATATGTGAAAATTTCTCAAAATTCGCGTCTAATACTTTTTGATAATCTCCTGACTAAAGAAGGAAAAGTTTGTCATCATCCCTATTCATGATCATCGTCCTTCATACTACTACATAGTATTAATGCAATAAATAAATATTTCCGACACTCACACCAATTGGTCTTAGCTTAGCCCCGAAGTAAGCACTGCAGGCTTGTGTTACGGGATATTAGGGCAACGGATAGAATACATATATAAGTATATTTATATCGAAATACATATTAAACATCCATGACTTAACAGATCCGGGACCTCTGGAGTAGGGGACACTTTGAAACCTGGTGTACAAACCACACGGCCAAAGAGGTCGTCATAGAAAGACACATCAAGACGGAATTCACGATACATCGAATTTCCCGCAGCTCCAACATAATCAACCAAGTTCAAGGCTAAGTCGGCTCCAATATTATACCAAAAGATTACCCAAACGTGACCCGTTTTCTGCCTTTAAATCGCTATACAGCAGCTAAATGATAAATACTGTATTAATTGATTTGACCTTCTGACATGGGATCAAAGAGTTTCTCTCGTTGGGTATTCAGAACAAATTTAACGAGTTTGATTGCTTTTTATTTTTAGCGAAAATTTGTACAGCTGGGTGCGACACGCGAACAGAATTAGACTTATTATATTTTATAATGCGATTCAACTAAGAATAGGATCGACTGGGCGCCATTTTGTGATGACAAAGCTGTCAATTGAAACCAAATAGGTAGAGTGAGCAATAAAAGTTTTTCTTTGATAAAACTTATTTACAAAGATTAAGTGAGAAAAAACATCAGATTTTATTAATAAAATTTATTTACTAAGATTGAGAAAAAAAACCACCGATTTTAATAACATTTATGACTGTGTGAGTAAAAATATTAATCGGAATCTAGCTCTTCAATTCCGCTCAGCTCTGCATAACTACCGGAGTTGTCATCGTCGTCATGTTTGTTTACAAATGTTTGGTTTTTTTATTCTAGAATTAGCTGAGTGCTAAAAAGATTTTTTGCAAACCGTACTTTTCAAGCGTCATTTGACAGATGGAGGTCATTGGCTTTCCTATTCTTATTTGAATCGCATTATAAAAAACTCCATCCGACTAAAACATTAATTATCGTTTTTTGTGGTGTGGTTACGTGTTCATCAGGTCATCAAATTTATAAGGGAACTACCTGGAAAGAAAGCTGATTTGAACCAAAACTGAATCATCAATATCTCATTTATATAATATAATTAATAATAAACCGACCAGTCAAAAAAAATTGATAACCTCCTCCCTTTTAAAAAGATTATTAAGTTGATTTAGAAAGTAAATAATTTCTTCATTATTTACAATAGCAAGTTACTGGAAACCGCTTTAATCATATAGTTGTTCTAACAGTTACTTATAAGTACTAAGAGTTTTTTTTTTTATAATCGGGAATATCCAACGGTTATAAATATCAATAAAATCTCCGTACTGTTCCGTGATTGATAGACCAATCTTCTCATAATGATGATTAAGTTGGAAGCAAGCCTAATACCTACTCTTCTGAGAAATTGGAATTAAATTTCGAAAGCTTATACAAAGTTGCCGTCTGAAAATTATTTGCGAGAATACAATTTTTTCAGCGACCAATCGAATTTGTTCGCTGAATTGACCGTTGATTGTCTCAGTAGAAAATAAATGGGTGTCATTTGGATATTTTTGGGTTGTCAACGGTGCTCAATGGCGTTGGTTAGGTTCTATTAAAGTTAATGTCTTTGGGTACTGTAGTATTAATACCTACTAGGTATAAACAGGTAAAGTTGGGTAGGGTTATAAAAATCGATCTAACTTTTAATCGAGTTAACTTTGGAAAATAATTTATTAATCGGGGACGTTTAGAGCATAATAAATTAAAGGAAGTTAGATTGTCTATAAAAGATTTCTGAAAGTTTTATATTATTAATATTGAAATCTAAAGAAAATGTTGGTAGAAAAAAATCCACGCGGACCAGGCAGCAGACTTAACTCACTTTTCTAGCAAAAATTTCTTTAGATTGAAACGTCTAGCAGTTACATGCTAAAAAAATTAAAAATATAATTATTAATATTTGTTTTCTTTTCTTTTTCTGTTTGAATGTGGACAGATTCAAACCACTGTAATCAAATGTATACCACAAGAGTTGATAGCAAGGCAATTGACGCATGCTTTTGCGTTCTTACCCACGCAACATTGTGATGGTGCTACTTGAATTAAACCCTGATTGTTGATCGTTAACAATAGTTTGGAAGCGTCAACCTCTCGAGTTTAACCCCAATCTACGGAGGCGTGATGAAATATATATTTTTCATTGCATCATCTGTGACATGTGCAGTGCAGCAATGAGGTATTTGCAATTGCGTAAATCGCGTCATGCTTCTAAGTGCTTGAAAGGCAAATTGCGTCTTTTGTTGTTTTAATTGAAGCCGTAATTTTAAGGTTCGATATCCTTAATTATAAATATACTAGCTCTCAAAGAAAACTACATATTTATGCCGTTCGGTGTTGAGACTATGGGCCTATGTAGATCCCAGCGCTCTTTCCCTTTTTAAGAAACCGTGAAAGAGACTCAGGTGGCTGGTGATCAAAAAGCTGGCAGCTATCTTGATCAATGGATCTGCGCTGGGGTTGTTAATTATATATCATTTAAATAGAAAGGTATTAAGGTTATTTGGATTTTTACTTTAACACATTGAAATTTTATAAGTTTTTGTTAGATATTTCTATTATTTAATCAATATAGGTTTCAATCTTCTTTAAATAGGGATTTTTGCCGTAAATGGTGCCAACGTAACCCTATACAGTTTATAGTTTTAGCTATAAGCTAAATATACTAAATACGAGATTGAAATTGAAGATTTAAAAAATCTATGGTTTACATTAAACCTAGTGTTTTTTTTTGGCTGTTGTTACCCTTACCACCCAAAGATCCTTTTTTATTTACCAAAGTGGTTAACGTTTATTCCTCGTTCAGGAAAGAAAGGGGATATCGAATAATAGCCGTGAGCCGTGGCGGTTTTTTTGTAACGTTTCACTTAATCTCATTTAAAACGTGCTTCTATAATGTTGCAGCATTACATAGGACATATAAAGAAGTACTGAAAATTACGCTACGTTGAGATTTCTCAAAGATTTGTTCTCGGTCGAACTTAAAATTTACTATTACGGAATGTTGTCACATTGTTGGTAAAGGGTGAATCACAAACTTACTGAAGTTTCGATTTCCGTTTATCAATGGAATTGTCATCATCATCATCAGCCTATTAATGCCCCCACTGCTGGAGCACCGAACATCTCTATGGACGGAATGCGTGAAATGCGATAGTGCGGATTGGTGGGGACTAACGACAGCAGATGCAGCCGAGACCAACGGCCTAACATATCTTTCGAAGCACGGAGGAGCTCAAGATAGTATTTTTTTGGTCATAAAATGACTGACCGTTTTGAAAGTTGCTTCAACGATCGCAGCCGAACGTGCTAACCACTTGT